TTGATTGGCATAATCATACAGATGATCGACGATGGACCTCTGGCACCAGCTTCACTATTCTTTCTGCTTGTGTTTATGCAAATCTTTATTGCTGGTAATTGTTTATATACCCTTAAGAAATTCTACCATTTTAAAATGATTTATTACTTTTCTATCACAGGTGTAGTCCATCCACAAGAGGTCGGTGCGTTAATTTGCGGTTTTATTTACTACATAACTATTCCTTCCATGTATATGCTTCTACTTATCTATTCGGTTTTCAATATGAATGATGTTTCATGGGGTACTAGGGAAGTAGCAGTGAAAAAGGTAAACTCATAGCCAAACTCAGAGCGTACAATTGATAACCATTTACATATCTGATAACCAAAAGGATGATGAAAGTGGTCTTGCGCCAGGTGATGATGCTGAAGAAGGACGTGAATATTTACCCGGCTGGGTGAACGATCCGTTATTAGTTGATTCGGAGTTAGGCGAGATATCGCTTAAAGAGAAACGTTTTTGGAAGGATCTAATTAAACAATATTTACGTCCATTATTTCATACGAAGGATAAGAAAGCTGAAATTGCTGAAAGTTTGCGAGAATTGCGCAATATGTTTGCCTTTGCTTTCATTATGATCAATTCCATATTCGTTCTAATTGTATTCTTACTGCAATTGAAAAAGGATTACTTGCATCTCGAGTGGCCGATCGATCCAAAGGATTATATAACATACGACGATACTAATTCCCAAATATACATATATCGACAGCATAAGGAGTTGGACCCTATTGGCTTGTGTTTTGTTTTATTTTTTGGTCTTATTTTGGTCATACAATTTATTGCAATGTTTTTCCATCGCTTCGCCACCATATCTCAACTATTGGCCACAACACAATTGGATTGGTTTCGAGCGCCGAGCACAGTAAGTTTGTAATGTAATAATATTTGCATATATGGGGCCAACCGCTGTAGCCAATTGATTATTGGGGTAACAAATTAATTCGATCCGTTGACTCCACCTGTGGGTCGTGTTATGGTTCAAAATTGGCCAAATTAGCTTCGAAAACAAAGAGCGTGGTGTTGGGATCAAATGAGAAGTGTGCTTTGAGCGTTATCGACTACAACTAATGCGTGTGTGCCGTACATTGGGTTAAAACCGGCGAGAAACGACCGAAAGGCTGAAGATGATTTTGCAACATGACTAAGTTCGGCCCTACGTGGCTGTAACGGTCAAAAACTTCCTGGCAATGCACACTAGGTCCTTGCGCGAAGTAATTAGTGGGATCACCTGTTTGGGTCTTTTGTAGAAATCGATAAGAAAGAGGATTCATTTCTTATGAGGTCCTTTTTTTACTTTTTTAAACACAAAAAAAAAGAAAACGGGACGGGGTTAACTCGTGGAAACGGAAATAGTGGGAACAGACGTTTAATTCCACGCGCACGGTAGTTACATTTGTTGTTTACGGTGGATTAAGCGGTCGCTTAAGCACAAACAAATGAAGGCTTAGAGTTTAACTGAATTGCCTTCGAATAGCCGTTGTATTTTTGTGAGTAACTTTTATTTAATGTCAAAAAATCAGTTGAAAAATGGGTTTGGATTGTGATTGCTCAAAACTTTGAAAACTAGATAATAGTTGAAAAACAAAATCAATCTGAATCGGAGTAATAGACTTAGAAAAGTGCACATAAAGAAAAATAAGCAGCGTTTGAAATTGTGTAGCAAAAATGGGCGGTGAGTAAAGTGCATTTAAGGTGCCGTCAGACAAAACAATTCATTGATTGCAACTTTAATACGGAAATGAAAAATTTGAAAATTCAATTTCAAGAGTAGACATATGTAGCTTAAAAAATTGTAAGGGAATTTGAAGTTTAATTTTTGATAGTCATTTTATGAAATTAAATTTCCGGTTGGTCACAGCAAAGAAGCTTAAAGAACGTATGTATATGATACACAGATAAAAGATTTCTTACACTGCAATTTGATTTGAATTCACTTAATCACTTAATTTTTCATAATTTATTGTTGTTTGCTACTTCTCAAACAACTGAGCTTTTATTGTGTTTTGAAGAGGACGCGAACTCCTGGGACGGTCTTTGGCCACACTACTCAATTTTAATTTCTATTTAATTTCTGCACGCTAATGGGTAAAAAGAGTAAAAGTTAATGAACGGAAATTATTATTGAAAAAAAAAGATTAGTTTAATGAAAAATATTACCACAGGAAATAGAAAACCAGCTTATATTTCCTACCCACGAGTAGGCGGCACTGATGACAAAAAACAAAGCAAAATTATGCGTTTGGCCTTTTTTCAGGGTAGAAAAAAGTGTAACCCTAATTGAGAAGTGACTTGCATTTGGGCGTTTTCCATTTCTTTTTCTGCTTTTCTGAGCGACTGGAAATTACTTTTTCCTTTGGACTTATTAAATTAAATATTAAAGAGTGATTTGATATTATTTCTCCTTGTAACACTAAAACTAATAAATGCTAAATAGGTATGACAAGATTCTAGTTCAACGAAAGCTAGTGCGTTGAAAGAAATAAAAATGCATATAAATGTCTGTGTCTGATAGCACCTTAACAGATGTTCATCTTCATTCATCTATCTATCTTATTTATGCTATGAGAACAATTGGATGTTGAAAATTAATAGTTATTAAAACACAAGTGATTTTTCAAGAATACCATAAACTACTCTTTTTTCATACTCTTTTAGATTACAGACGAAGATGCCGCTCAAGAAATACGCGGTAATGCCGTAAATATTGCTCGTCAGTTGCAACGTCCGAAACGTTTCGATGAAGACGATGAGGATTCGTCATTTGACGACGAACAAGAGTTGAATGGTGAAGAAAATGGGGATAAAAATAATGGCATAACGCGTCGACATACAATTTTCAAATTGCACGAGAGTCGAAATAAGACACCGACCGATTATAGTGACTTGCCTCGAAATTTCGAACGTCGTTTTCTGGGCGAAGGTGACGTTTTAATATATCCTTATTTTTGTTTATATATTAAGACCAGAAAGTTTCCGGAAATAGATTTTTTTTTCGATATTCGTGGTTCGGTTCATCATTAATCCGTTCCAAAGGGACAGACAGTCAATAAAGACAGCGTTTTGAGGCGTTTTGTGTGCCAACTTTTATGACGATAATGCACATTCCATACCGTCAACCAACCACAGTATTCACCAGATTTGGCACTTTTTTGTTTCCGAAATCGTAGACGGTGCGCAAAAAAATCAATATGTTTTATTAATTTGTTTATTAAATCCTAAATATTTGAACCTAATTATGGAAAATATGCCTGCACAACAAGAAAAGCTGAATGAAGACATTATCTTACAAATTAAAAGGGCTAATTTTTGTCTCTCTTTTTCTTCACACAAAATCAAACAGCAGATTATTTTGTTACCTGCTATTTCGCTGTGAGCTCAGAATACAAAATAGTAACAAAATTTACTAAATGGTAAATTTTAATACCAAGTTTTTTTTTTGTTACCTCGCCAGAATAGGCCTGTTAGCGTATGCATACATGTACATATGTATTGTAAATATATACTTTGATAGGGCTCCTAGACGTTTCTGTATTAAATTATTAGGGTCCTGGAAGCAATATCCCGAACTTACATTAAAGTGTTCGGTTTCGATTAAGTCTAGAGGCTTAAAATTTAATTGTAATATAAATTTCATCGTTCCTAATTAATAAAATTTTGTAAGTATATAACAGTAAATTTGTTATTGCTGTTTGCCCTTAATTTTTACTTTCTTGATTTCGTAATATTCGAGATGAGCTATAACCCGCAGCCCTTACTAAAGCTCTAAATAAAGTACAACAGCTAGAAGCTTTGAATAATAAAATCTTTAGTGGAACTTAGGACTTTTGGATAGGATTGAAATTTTTAAATTTCGTTTAGTGAAATTAAAACTTAAATTTTCGTATAAAAATGGTGCGAATGGAGCTCGTTTTCTCCACAAAGATATCTCGCAGCCCTATGTACGCATCATAGTCGTGAACTTATGAATATATAAAGTGCATTTTATTTTCAGATGAATTAAGGGTAAAACACATTTCGATGAGCAGAAAATCTCTAATTATGTTGAATGAAAGTCGCTGCTTGGCAAAGCATCGCTTGACGGAGCAGTTGAAACGGAATACTGACTTTAATAAAAATCCTGTGCCTTTTATTCAAACTGGGTACGCGAACGCAGCTTTCGAGCCTCCCATCGCTATCATTTCCAATAATTTCAATAGCGTAAGCGATTGGCAGTCTTCATAAATTGAATTGTAAAGTAACCGAAACGTCAAGTATAAAAAGCAAAATCTGAAAAGCCCGAAATAAATATTTTACTAATAAATATTATCAAAAATGCAAAAACTATGATTTTGAATTAGAACTTGATTATTATACACTTCACTATTTCAGGCAGGTATGTATGTATGTAATGAATTTATATTTTTCTGGAAAGATTCTAAAACATAATGGAGTCAATATGTGAGCATGGTGAAGTACTAGTTTTATTTGAAAGTACAAAAAACCCAATAACTCAAAAAAAGTTTTAAATGATAATGTCAAAAAGCACTTCAGTTGAGAACTTCCAACAACCAGGGCAAATTATCAAAGGACTATGATTGGATGGCAGGAGATTTTTTATACTTAAATAGTAATGTGCCGCTCTATACCTGGTTGGTATCCATGCTGAAAGCTGACATCACCACTATCCAGAAATACGCTGGATGGGACAATGACCATATCAAAGGCGGCCAAATATGCTGGCGCATTTGTGGGTATAGAGAGGTGCTGCGACCAAATAATATCGTTTACCCTGGTGAACGAATGTCATGCCATCCGAACTAAAGCTTGGTTTTTCAATATCTATATCGGCATTCTCTGCCGATGGGTGAAAGGAAATTTCTTCTATAATTTTGAATAGTGGCTCCACCAGGTATCGAACCTTAAGTTATCATATAAATCATCAGAAATCGTGTATTACAAAACTACGCGTGGATTAATAAACTTCTATAGTTCTACGTATTTTTATTTAAACGACCTTTTGTCGTTTAGTGATCGATATATCTATACCGAATATTTTATAGCTTTGGAAATATGGAACTTTTTTTTTTTTCGAAATTAATAAAACAAAGCATTTTAACAAAATATTTTTTTATTAACGGACCATCTCAACCGCATACATATATAAAGTGATTGTATATTTAAAAGTCTGGTCTCATTATTTGAGGCTTAAAATGTAAAGATGATCTTGAAGGTGTGCTGCAGATAATCTCAATGTGTAAGAATGGATTATTGACGTATCCCATATTTACTTTGTTAGAAAGGTGATTTCCAAAACGTCAGCTGCAGAGCAGCCATACATTGTCGCGCATTCCTAAATGCAGCTGTGCAAACTTTGACGTTGTATCACGTTCCAAAATGCATCAGTAAGGTTATTGATGCGCAAACCAAACCAAACTTCAGCTAAGGTTGTTAATGCTTTATTTTATCAAAAATTCGTAGTAACAACGGTCGACGTCGGAGGGCAAGTTTTTTAAGCATTATATTATTTATTTTTTTGATCTGATTTATATTTTAGCCATTTCACCGAAAAGCAACTTATTTGCACGAAAAGCGTTCCAAAATGTCCGAGGATGCAAAGTATTGCTGCGATGCAAATTTATAGATTGCAGCGTTGCATTGTTATGATGCGGTTACAAAACCGCTTACAAAGTATTTTGATGTTTTGGAACTCGCCTAAACTGAATCCAAAAAATATCTCAACAGCTGAAGAAAGTATGCAAACTAATAAATAATATTATATATATTAAAATTATGCGATGATTTAGATAGAACTTTATGCTGAGCCTTTTATTCTTGGAAACATTTCGAGTAGGTCAAGTATTTTTTTAACATAAAATTTAAGTCTTTTAAAAATTTTGAGCTTCAGTACTTTGTAGCACCATCCCCAATTATTTGGGTGTCGTAATCTTGGCCCAATTAAGGTCGGGAAGCCATAATTTTTACATATCTGAACTAGAATTCAATAACATAAAAAAGGAAGCTCAGATATCGTTACTTCTGATACTAACTCCTTCTTTGTGCAGCTCTACAATTTTTTTTGAAAGATTAACCATTTGCTATCTTCCATTAAGAACTCAAAATCGGGAATGTGCTCGAAGTCACCAGGAAAATTCTTGAAATCAATTTTGTTCTAGAATGTCACGAAGATTACGATGTAGAATATCTTCCATACTTGACAATCAAAGACACTCTTTTCATACACATAGCATATAAGATAAAAGGTCTATTTGCTTAATATCAGTATTCTGTAAACTACTTCCGTTAAACAAAATCTTATTGATTTTACAATTACCATATTCGGCAGGAATCGACTGGAAAACCACATGAATAAAAAGATTTCTAAAAATAAAGAGTTTGCTTTGGATTATACTTATATATTATTATAGAAATTATTATTATTATAATAAATTATTATAGAAAAGTTGAACGCTACAGTGGAGAATGCAAATTACCTACGTTGAAGCATTCTCCAAAATCCATACCATGATTTTGGTATAACAAAATATGGAGTAGGTTTTATTTCGATACTAAAAGCAACTGTAAATGTAAATGCAGCAGCGTTTAAAGAAATTGTCAAATATTTTGTTGTACCCACAATTGAGGACCTTCCACAACACACCCAAAATGTAATTTTTCAGGACGATTCAGTACCTTGTCATTGGGCAGCTTCTGCAAGTCATGCATATTTTTTTGATATAATTTTGTGATTTTCTAATAGTTTAGCTCCTTTCTTTTTTATAGATAAAAGTTTTAAAGGATTAATTGGGAATAAATCGGTAAGAATTGCGTGGGAACAGTCCTGACCTGAACTCTATTGAAAATTTGTCGTCCGTATTGAGACGAAAAAATCGATAGAAGAAGCGGAAACAATCTAAGACCTTGGGAAAATCATAATCTAAGAAGTCTGGTATAAGCCCAAACTTATTTTTTCTTTTTCAAATAAGATTATTTTTTGCAAATATATTTTTAATTTATGTATGTACTAATAATTTAGAGATCTAAAATGCTTCAAACTAATAATCTCTATCGAAGTATTGACACTCAAACGGAAAATATCAATATTTTTTGTGGTGCGGCGCAAATAATGTCGCTGAGTGTAATTCTAATTCCCACGCAAGCTCAGAAAGCGTTACTTTTTACTATGCGTCTAAAACCATCTTGGACCTACGGAAGCTAGCTTTACGGTTAGCATTTAAATTTATCTTAGACATAGACAGTCTATATGCTTGAGAACAATATGGAGGTCCCCATGGTATGCGATTCCGCAGCACAAATTTATTAAACAGAGCTGTCCTAAACGATTAAAGAGTAAGAGCTTAAGTTTCAGCTATGTTTAAGGACTTTGCGTTGCAATCACTGCACTAGATGAGAGTAGTTTATTTGTTTCTCTATGGAATATCCTTCAAGAAGACTTATAGTATATTATTTATAAATCAGTGAACTCTGCTTGAGCTTGTCTTGTAACGGGTATTATGTGTAAAAATTCGTTTTAAGATTCTATATTATTATTAGTGGCATTAATGCATTGACAAATCAAACTCGTCATTCAACCAAATATTGTAGGAAAAGCTTGAGCGGTAACCGCTTCAGCTGTTTCAAAGCGCATTTTATTTATTTCAGTTTTTACTGTATTTAGTTTATGTTGCATTAAATTTCCATTTGCTAATAAAGGGTGATTTTTAAGAGCTATAGGGAAGTTAGAAAAAACGAAACACATAAAATTCAGAAAAATGAATGAAATATTTATTTGAATCGATAGTACGGTCCATATAGTTTAATATTTGGAGAAGATTGAAATGGTCCATCCGCTTAGTCCAATATTGGCATACTCTTTCCAACATTTCTCACTAACAAATGCTTCAATGTTGTCCTCCAATGCGTCAATTGAAGCTGGCATCTCTGTGTAGATATTAGATTTAAAATAGCCCCACAAAAAATAGTCTATAGGCGATAAGTCGCACGATCAAGGCAGCCAATTGACCAGTCCAAAAAATGAAATAAAGTGTTCTCCGAACTGGCCTCTCAATAAGTCTATTGTTACGCATGCAGGGTGGCATGTGGCACCGTCTTGTTGAAACCACTTGTCATGCAAGTCAAGTTCTTGCATTTTGGGCAAAAAAAAAAGTTCTCACGGTAGCGCTCACCATTCACACTAACGTTACGATTCGCATCATCTTTGAAGAAGTACAATCCGGTCCAATGATGCCAATGATTGCTAAAAAATCTCCCTTTATTAGTGCCCAAGTTTTGAGTTATTTGTATCCGGTACGTACAACTGCGGTCAAAATAATAGCAGTGCTAAATACTAAAAACTACAAATAATAAATGAAAATACGATTTTTTTCAATTATTTGTTAACTTATTTTATTGCAGAATACAACACTACTTTGACTTAAAAAGTAGTCTAATATTGTAAATGCTACTATTTCTTTTAAAATCAGGACAGTTTTGATGTTACCATTAAGATGTTAAAATTATATCTTATTTTATTTTATTTTAAGCCATTAGAATAAGTTAACTCATAGTTGTTTCTTTGAATAAATAAATAGATAATTAAAATAAATCAATATTAAAATATTATTTTCAAGTGGGTACAAGTTTAAATAGCATTTTGATTAAGAAAACTCAAAACCTTTTTAAAATGAAGTAATCGTATAATAAGTATTAAATCTTAGATGGTGTTAATATTTTGTGCCTAATCATTTGTTAGATACAACCGTTTTAAACCACGATGGATTAACGTCGTCCTTTCATGGGCCCGTTCAGTTTATGGAATACGGTGACTGCGGCATCATTAGTGTGTTGTTTTTGACCAAAAAGTCGCGCACAAGCAACGATGTGTGAGCAGGGGCGTTATCGTGGTGCAAAAGCCAATTTTGTTCCACAAATCCGGGCGTTCCTGGCGCATTGCTTTGCGCAAATTGCGCATAACTTGCAGGTAATATTTCCTTTTGACCGTTCTACCCTGTGGCAAGATGCACCACGCCTTTGCAATCGAAGAAAACTGTCAGCAAAGCTTTCATTAAAAATTAAAAATCGAAGACCATCCAAAACACGTGCAAGCAAAGCAGCTGTCAACAATTAAGTGAACATTCAAAATGGCCGAACTTGTCGGCATGAGTGACAGACATGAGTACCAACATAACGCCACAAAAACAATCGAAATTCGATTATACGTGATTCGCGATACTTTTTGAACACACCTCGTATGTAAAGGCTTTGTGCATAAATTGTGTTTAGAATAAAACTCTCGACGACATCGTTTAGCTCACACACAACCAATCCTTCGCATAAAAACTATGCTCGAACAATTTAACGTTAAATGATCTCTACGGGGTCTGCTATTTTGATTATAAAAAAATTATATTGTCGCAAAATAATTAAAATCAGCGTGGCATCAACAAATATTGGAATATAATGAACTGTGCAAAGCTCTCTTGCTCCAATTGATAAGTCATTCCAATAAATACTTAAACGTAAATACTCATATATGAATGTATGTACGTTTGTACACCACATTTATCAATATAAACATATGCTCTTCATACTATAAACGGATTCAAAATGATTGTTATGAATTTTGAATGACGCGAAAGAGAGAGGACGGGTTATCAGTGCGTGTTTGCATGTATGGTATATATATTTATATATTTCTAAAATATATGGAGTAATTGAGATTGATAACAATGCTTTTTGTTAAGGAATACAAGTACAACAAATGATTACAAAATCAAAATACAAAATAAACGATTCACTTATTGAAAGAACACTTGCCAATGTAGTGACCGTAAAGTGCAAACACTTCACTGAGTAATCTTTAACTAGGATTCCGCCATAATTTATACCGTTCAGTTTATTTTGATTTGCTGACCAGTACGGTCGAATTGCAAATCAATTTCGAATATTCAAATACACATATAATTTTCAATGAGATATTAGATTAAGAGTGTGAACTTTAGTCTTTTTTGCGAAATAAAAAAATTAAATTAATTTATAACATAAATATATACACACACACTTAGATATTATCAAACTTAAAATGTTTTTGAACAAATCACTGGCATCCGTTAACATGTTTAAGCGCAGCTTTTCGACAAGTGTTTGGAGAGCGGCCAGCATACAAGGACCTCGACAACCTGTAAGTAAAAAGAAAATTTGAAAGCTTAATTTTGCTAAGTGGGGAATGTAAATTATACATGGCTCACTTAGAAAGCGCTGCATATGTAATTTGCAATAGGTTCTTCATAAAGAAACAAGTGATTACCAGATAAGGTAGAAGCCATGAAAATATATATTAACTTACGAGTAGTTTAGATTAGATTACATTAGCTTTCTGTAACGTCTTACATATGTCAATGTGCTGATCCTTGGTAGTGTCAGATGGAGGTTCAATTTTTACTTTATCTAGTCCTTCTAAGGCAAAATGGATAAGCGCCTCACTTATGACTTATGTATACAAATATGTATATATATCTATATCGACATTTATATATATATATATATATATATTACAACGAATGGAGGTACCTCCGCCTCCGAACGGCTAATGGGTTTTTTATGAGCAGCTCTAATTTTATTACAAAAATACACTCGGAGAGGCTAACATTCTCTGCCGAAGGGGGACCGCAATTAGAAAATGTAACTTAATTTTTTATTTAAATTTGTTTTCTTTTATTTTTGGATGTTGGTCGAACCATGGACTCGAACCATGGACTTTCGAATTGCAGTACGCAATACTAAACAGTCGGTCATCACGGACGTATATATACTTTATTGTTGAAATTTAATATTGCAATTTTTTATTTAATATTTTACTTTAGAAAAATTAGAAAAATCACTTAAATTTTATTATGTAGAAATTATCACTGCAACTTTTAAAATAAACAAACCCAAACAAATACCTACATATAAAAAGGTTAAAAGAAACTCAGAAATTACATAAGCGATTAGTTTTTCATAATAAAAATTCATAAATACACTCGTACAAACTTTAACATCGTTAAAGGGATCCATCTGAATTTTCGTACCCGGCGCATGTTATGTTTGTAGGTATGTATTCAGAAGTAAAGCTGCCTTGATTGATGTGTAAAAATTTCGTTTTAAAAATCGAAGATATTTATTCACATGCTTTTCCCACAATGCATGTGGCCAGCAAGTCCATAATAATAAAAAAAACTAAAAACAAAAGCCTAGAAAATGTGGTTAGGTTTTCGTTTCGAAAATACTAAAAATTTTTTTAACGCAACTCCGAATCCTTTTTTTTTTTAAGAGGCAAAACTGTTATCTCAAGCATTTACTTTCTCAAAATCGTCATTATCCTTTTATATGCGCAAAAATTTAAGATTATGTAAATTTTGAATTATGTTAAAAAACTATGCTTCGCGCTTTTCTGTTCTACTGAATTGGCATCCTATTTCTTGAGGCTTTGATGGAAAAACTACTTCACTTTCATATTTTTGCAGCAAACTCTCTTCACATTATTTATGAATCGTAATTGTACTCAAACACAAACATATTCATACCTGTATTTTATTTGTATTTCTCGAAAAGTGTTTGAATTTTGATGCACAACTAAATAAAATAAATCTCAAATTTTTATATATATATTTTATAATAATATTGATGGCTGATATTGCATTGTGGTTATGGGCAAATCATACTTCCGATCAACAGCAATAACTATATATATAACTATGGTTGAATATGGCGAAAAAAGATAAAAAAGAATAGTAAAACACTTTTAATGTATTTTTCAACGAAGTGTGCGATTGCAATTCAAGAGCAATCTTTTTCCATTTTCCCACTTGTGTATATGTATGTACGTGTATCTGAAAACGAGTGCAAAGAGTTTCAATTTCCTTGAAGTTTCCAAAATACAGTGAAAGTGTTGAATTGCGAAAATTCAGGTGTGCACGTCCATTATACTAGTTGTTATATTAACAGTGACTATGGAATACTCGAGGAAGGCGCATCGATATGCACTTTCATATAAATATGTATGTAAACATATACTAAGGGTGTTCCAAATGAGATGTATGTATATGGATGTAGAAAAGAAAGTAGATGAGAAAACAATTTATTGGAAAAATTGTACTTATGGCTCGCTTCAGTTGAAAGCTGGTACAAAGGTTACAATAAAAGGCAGCGTATTCTAGCTTCTGAGAAGTTAACTTTGAACCGATCTTGCAATCCTAACATTCTAATGAAATTAAGAAAACTTGATAAATGTTTAAGAGAACTTTAATTTGCTCTGATTTTTGGAAAGTTATTTGAGCCGCTCAGTGCACACGTCGATTAAGTCCACTTTTTGAAAAATCTTAAATTTAAGTTTCAGAGCCTTTCGTGTAGTCATAGCTTTTTTTTATTTACTATAACTTTCCTGAATAATAAAGATTAGCACCGTTAAATGGCCAATTTTTTTGGCTATTGAATAATAACTAATTTATTTCAGAAGCCATTTCGATTACCTCCATACTGTTAGAGTATTTCAGTAACTATCTGTATGTATCTGTGCTGTAGTTTCATTATCTCTTCGTAGTAGGCTTCATAGCCATAACGGAAATCACTGCTGAATCAATGACATGCAAGTGGACACAGTTATTTACCCAATGACTCAGATTTTGCCATTATTGAGTCGTGTGCGAAAAAAAATCAAAACATTTTTCACCAGGTGATTGGTACCATATAATCAAAATATGTAAAAAGAAAGCGCGATTCACCAAGATTTGTTGCCAACAAAACTCTTAGAACAACTTATTATTAAAAGAAAAGTAACCGTCACAGGGCTTCCAGTAAATTGTTTTAAAATATACTGGATAAAGTTAGAAAGGTCCAAACCCTATCTTTTACAATTCAAATGTGACTATAATAAAGATACAGAATTCCAAACCATTCATATAAGAAAATCTTTAGTGGGTAGGCCGCACATTTTTAGAAATATATATACATAGATCAGCCTTTATTATATTCTAAAGGTAGAACTGTGAGACCTGCTAAAATTCTTTCCTTCTGTTAAACACTATTTCTATAAGAGCCTGTCTGATGAAGAAGACTTTATTTATAATATTGCTGAATCATAACAAAGAGTCATGCCGCCAAGATAAAGGTGCTATGAATTAATTACAAATATTATTATAACCGAACTGTCAATATTCATATGGAAAAACTGTGTTAAAAATTTATGATAACTAACTTTTTTGTAATAAAAAACTTAAATATTTAAAGAGTAAATATAATTTTATTACTTTATTCAGTTGACAAATCGATTAACTCCATCAGTCACATAAAAAGTATAACATTGCTGACTATTCTTTTTTATTAATTTTATTTACCGTTAGATGAAAGCAATTATGGATTCTACATTATATTTGTATATGTATGAATTCATATTATCAGAGAAATTTAAAAAAAAATATATACATTACATCATCGCGTTTCTCAACTTTTCGTTTTATGGTGTTAATCGATGTGTGCACTGAGCGGCTCATTTGTTGAGTAAAGTCACCTGTTTGTCTTCTTATTAAGCGTTCCCCTCACTCTGCTAAAACTCAAAGATCAATTAAATTACCATTCGAGGTTGTTTTTTTTTTTGCTTCTAGGCGATTTGTATCGAAAAACTTCTTTCAACTCCTCATCGCTTGACAAATTCTCTGCTAATGCGATGTACACGTGTCAGCCAGGCATGCAACCCTAAATATCGTACAAGCTGTTTACACAGTTGCTCCACAGTAGCCTCAGCAGGTATGGTTGTGGGTTGGCTGTACATGTACAACAGTAGCGCCTTGGATCCAGTACTTCTGATAGAAAGCGTTGATAGTAGTCATGATATTCTTATAGAGTAAGAAAAATTGGCCATCTTGCTTGGTATCCCACTTCAACGATGCCTCCGCTCATTCGTTGTATGCCACTCTGATCCAGAAACGGTGGCAGCATTTGTGAAGAGATCTGCTTACTGAGCTTGCGACATGATAACACGTCTATTTTGCTAAGGGTAGTCCTATCAAAGATAAAATGATACGTAACCCTTACAAATTGTAGATAAATGCGTTCCTCGATTATTTTTTCTGGGCTGGTAGCAAAGCCAAATGAAGGAAGTTTGAACAGCTGATCGTTAAGAAGCCTCAGTGCCACTTAATCACTAAAGAAATCTACCGTTTTTCGTTAGAGAAGCAAATTTATGTTGAAATTAGGAAAAGGTATTAATTGTATTTGTTGAAGTCAACTATAGCTGTAAATCTTCAAAAATATTGGTTTACACAATTTTTTATTAGCACAAAGAGGCAAAAAAAAATTCTTCGAAAATCCAAAATGGATATTTTTTTTTATCGAAGTGGCACTGTTGAAATTTTATAGCGCTCTCACGAGATAAAGACTTTCGTATCATGTTATCTTTGCCTATGGCAGTAGGTTCACTGTACGCATAATTCAAGCGCAACTTCGATGATGTACTGAGTTTTGAAAAGTCTATAACTGTGTTTCCAGGCTGAACTAGTAATGTAATTTCTTCTGGTAGTACGCCTTCTGACTGTAGTATTAAGACGGCCATTGACGTCGTATTTAGGGATGATGAATGCGTCGCAGCTACTGTAGCATTTTGCGCAGTTGGCAACCATCTTCTTATCTCTGGAGAAGTTGAAGTGAAATTTTGAGAAGGGATCGTTTAACTTTGGAATGAGTTTAAAATTGAATAAGAATCTCGCTTAATATTTCTAATTTTTTTATTACAGTCTCAGTCTCTCTCAACACTCGTAACTTTACGCTGAATGTTTATCTTCTTGAAAATGTTCATAATCGGCAAAATATTTCGCATATTCGTAACATCACTAATATGCATGTAGATAACTCTGCGCAAATATATGTATAGTTTCGTGTTGAATGTGTAGTGGGTAAATGCATCGATGGTGAATTGGATTTTTTCGAGCACTTTGCTGTTTGGAAGTGTACAAGAGCATCTGCACTTTCGGCAACATGCAACATTTTCTCGACGCATTTACGCTCTTTTGTAACTAAAGTGATACGCTTTTAAATACGGTTGAGCAAATAAAAGCACAGCTTCGTATACATACATATATACATGCGCATATGTATGTATTATAAGTGCATCGGTAAACATCGTTAAGGTGTATTTATTCCAAAGAA